GTTTTCATTGTGGAAGTGTTTCATACCCTTAGTTAAGTCAATTCCAAGGTATTTTTGTTCTCTTTGATGCTATTCTGAGTATGCCTACGATCTCTTTCTCATACTGATTTTTGGAAGTTGACTTTTTATCCTGCCATTTTGAGGAAATTGTTGATTTTCTCTAATTTATTTTGGTGGAATTTTTTGTGATCTCTTATGTAAAGTATTATATCATCTGCAAATTGGGATGATTTTATTTCTTATTGACTCTATTTGTATCCTTTTAATTTAGGGGTTTCTTTTGTTTGGTTGGTTTTGGCTTTTTGTTGTTGCTCTGTTTTGTTTGTTTTTCCTTATTGCTGTGGCTAGGGCTTCCAGCACTATATAGAAAGGAAGTGGAGATAAGTGCATGTCTGTGCCAGTAAGTCAATTGATCAACCTACCTAGCTATGAAACCTATGAATGACAATGAAACCAATGAACAGCATGGCTAGATATTCATAAAATGTATTAGTGACATTCACAAGTTTGTGGTAAATAACTGTCTACTTTGACATAAGGACCACTCAACAGGAAGCAAGTTGTGCCTGGTACTAGAAACCCAGCCAGGTTCCCAGAGTTAGTGAGATCATGGATCTTAGAGACTCTATTATTCCACTTTACTAGACCAGCACAATTCCAAATGCTATCCTTATACCCATAGACAGATGTAACTATCACTCCTCGTCAAAGAAGCTATGTTTACAGCAAGTGGAAACCACCACAGAGAAATACAAGTAGGCACAATGTAGATGGAGATCAATGGATTGTAGAGAATCCAGCTCCAGTGGATACATCTACATCACAGCTCTGCATCTCTGACTTGGGGAACATCATGGAAGAGGGTATAGAAATGTTCTAATATCCAGAATTCCAGGGAGTCTGTTGTGAAATAGTCTTTCTAGAAATGGCTGTATAAACAAAATCAGAACAATGGCAATATCAATAGACATGCTTATGTGGGATGGGGGAAAACATAGGGTCTCACCCCTAGACAAAGAACTACAGATAACTAATAACGGCTGAGAGGGAAAATTAGCCTCTCCCAGGGATGAGGTCTTCTATTGGTTATCCAACTCACAGTGGTCAGCTCTGAAACTGCACAAACAACAGCAAAAATTTCAACAGTTTCATTTATCTATTGTACATATGTAAGATATATATATATATATATATATATATATATATATATATATATATATATATATATATATCATATATATGACAATGAAAATAGACTGTCAATCGAGAATGAAACGTATGGCAGATATTGAAGGGAGGGTCTCTAGGAGGAGTTGGGGGATAAAAGGGGAAGAACAATGTAATGTAATTCTATTTTATTTAAAATACATTTTTAAATGCCAACATTTCAGAAAAATTAAAATTGTGTATCTTTTCTCATCATAACGCAATAAAACTTAAATCAATAACAAAAGAATCTCTAGTATTAAACAAACTCAAGGAGATTAAATAACATAATGGTTGAGTCAAAGAAGAAATCCAGAAAGAAATGTAAAGATTCCTGTAACTAAACTAGAGTGCAAACAGCATAACAAAACTTCTGTCACAAAATCCTAAAGGGAAAATACAGTACTATGTACCTAAAATAAAAAAAATAATAAGGGCATGAATAAATATTTTAATGATACAACTCAAGAAAAACAAGATACAGCTCAAGAAAAATTGATACAGCTTTGGAAAAACAAGAACAGACTAAATCCAAATCCAGTAAACAGAAAGAAAAAGCAAAAATCATAGGAAAACTTTATAACATAGAAATAAAGATAACAGATAGAACCACAAATCTAAGATCTGGCTCTTTGAAATGATAAATAGAATCAATAGACATTTGATGTAATATTCTTATTTAGTTCCATGAATCTAATGTTAGTTCTCATAGTTATGTATGGGTTCTTTCAATATTTTCAGTAGTGATGACTTAAAGGCAATTAATTTCTTGTGTTTCCGAACATATCTGTTCTTTATTGATTTGAAAGAGTAATTTCTATCCCATTAATTTCCATGCCACATATCTAACTCTTTGCCTGCTTTATTTTAGCTTTGTGACTATAGTGAAAAGTGTTGAGTGTTTCCTCTTCTAGAACATTATAATAGTATAACTGGTTTTAAAATGAACAATGAAGCCAAGGATTGTAGCGATATGATTTGGGAAAAAAAGCACAGGTCACTCCCTTCTTTTAGACAAGAATAATAAAATTTGTGGAGATACTAAAAACTGTATAACCAAAACCAAATCAAGGCTTTGGAGGACTCATGACACCTGTTCATTACATGGCTTATTCTTCAGAAAAGATACAGAACAAACAAGAAGCAAGCATTAGGCCAGAGTGATGTTATGGTCTTAGTATATTTTACTTTTGAAAGGTAGACTAATACATGGAGATGAATAAATGAAGTCTGGTTTGCCTAACATTTAATCAAATGTCATGGGAACAGAGACTCCACATGAAACACTTATTTCATGAAGATCAAAGTCCCATAGGAAAATTATGTAATCAACTCTTGAGATGACAAGAGGGAAATATACATAATATGCAGATATACAGAGCTTTAAAAACTCCCTTGCCTTTGTCTCTGCATATGCAACACTGCTGTGGACAGAACATTTCTGTTTTCTTTAGGGTGTTCAGATAACTTGGAATTGATTCATGACCCCTTCCTGCTGTCTTCAAACTATTTTCAGGCCTTGTATTCAACCATACAGGGGAAAGATTAGGTTTCCAATAAGGATCTTTTCATCCAGAAGCCCTATCCAGGTGAGTCTGAGGCTCTGCAGGTGTGACAGAAAAGTGACTGAGAGATCAAAACCAGAAATACTTACCTTAGGGTGACCTGGCCAGGAGCTTACAGTCATCAGCGGCAACTTACATGCTTAACTAATTAATCCATTGATACAGTAATCGGACGAGAATGGGTGTTGTTAAGGCTCTTAATAATGCATTTGTTGATATAGAGTATTCCACATACAGTGAAGTGAGATGATCCTTATCTCTGAAATGAAACAACAGTTTGATTAGCTTTTACTTAACCTATGCCATGAGTCTGTCTACATAGATTTTAGTTTAGGCTTTTTCTATTTTGTTGAATATGTTCCTTTTCTTACTATTGAGTTTTTGTAGCATTGCAGATAACTTTGTGAAATCTACTCGTAGATATCTTTCAAAATGTATAGTTTGTTTTCAAAGGGTTTTTACTTCCACTTGTAATATGTCAGCTAGAGAACTGATATTATCTTACTCTAGATTGAAAGTCATGTATTCAAGTATTTATTTAAATGCACTGAGACTTGATTCATAATTAATTTAATAAATAGTTAAGCGTGTACTATGTACCACAATGCTTAAGAAACATGATCTTCATTTATTTATAGGTCACTTTGAGATCAGTTATCAACTCCTTTTGAAAACATTAGAGGGACTTTGGGGACTATATATGGTCTTTCAATTAATATTACTATTCTTCTTAAGTTTGTTTAATGCAAATATTTTAAATAAATTAGTTAAATCTAACCTTATTCATCTACAATTCCATTTATTACATAATATCTCCTTTTAAAAGCCTTATTCCATATAATATAAACATATTTCCTTAACTGTGAAAATAGAAGTGAAAACAAAACAGAATACTTCTTACTTGGATTTTAAATTACAATTTCAATATGAAATATGCTGTTGTAAATGTGCATATGATGCAATGCCCTCAGGGATCAGACACACTCAATGCTTTGTCCTGGTGGGTACACAGAATCTTATATAAGGTAATGTGGAGAGACTTTGAGACTTTGATGATACCAGGAACAATTATAGTGCTTCTATATTGCTTATCCAAATAGATAAATTTTGAAAGCCTGGAGTAAGACAGAAAATATCTCTATGGGGAAATGGGGGTCTAACCTGCTATCGTCTTTCTATATTTGGTGCATGCCATAGAATTATGCATACTAATGTTTCACTGTGGAACCTAACACATTTTCATTACAGAAGTTGAGTAGACCACTAGTTTTCAGAGGTTGAGGAGTGGGAGTTGAGGGCTAGGAAGCTTGAGTAGTAGGCAGGAAGCCACAGTACGACATGAGAAGACTGTGTCCTATTTTGCACACAGGGGTGACTGTAGCTAATGGATCATAAACTTCAAAGTATCTAGATGAGAATATCTTGAAGACTGGAACTACAGGAATTCCTTATGGTAGATTAGGTTATTATGTCATATATACATGTATCATAGCATTGTATTGTATAATTTGATATATTGAATTATTATGTATAAGTTAAAATTCAAAATAATCTTGAATGGTGCAGAAAAAAGTCATATATTTCATTTACATGATGTGTTCTTTTCCCTCTGCATTTTTTCACCAAATGGAAGCTCAACTTGTAAGTATGTGAGCACCAAATTGATAAAACATTTTGTCTTTTGAGAAGTTTGTTTTTATGTCTTATTGTTTTGTGACTCCTCAAGGGATGAAACAAGGTTTAAAATGCAGCTCAAATCAAGGAAGTTTTTCTTCCTTTCAGTCTCTCAGGAACCACTTGAGCTAGTTAGACAGTATTACCCCCTGGAGACTTGGTTTTTTTTTAAATCTGTATTTATTATTGTTTGTGGAAGTAATGTATTGTGTTTATTTAGTCACAAGATAAAAGTGATCATAGTAAAATATAAAATCTCAGGAGTATATATGGAGCGTGACTAATATTAAATTGTATTTTCCAACTATAACAAAGAATACATTAAAGACATATATAATAAAAGTCTTCTGAGGTAAAGGCTTAGAGTGAGATGATTGTTCTAAATAAGTCATACCAGGGAACTCCCTAAAAAGCAATACACTCATATTCAAAACAGGAGTTACTATCCTAACAGTATAGTATAAAGTACAGTTTTTCTATCAGGTTAATGTTACATAATGTTTTACTTAGTAATGGAATTACATCAGGTTGCTTTCTCCTTTTTTGTTATATTAGCTATATGGAGTTGAAAAATGACACACAAATTTCAAAATTTATTCTCCTGGGAATTTCAGAGGATCCTCTATGGCAACCCTTCCTTTTTGGACTATTTTTGTTCATGTACCTGGTCACTCTGCTTGGGAACCTGCTCATTGTCATTGCCACCATCACAGATTCCCATCTTCACACACCTATGTACTTCTTCCTTTCCAATCTGTCTTTTGCTGACATCTGCTTTACTTCTGTTAGCATACCGAAGATGCTAGTGGATATACAGACGAAGAATAAGGTGATAACATATGAAGGCTGCATTTCCCAAGTATACTTTTTCATACTCTTTGGAGTTTTGGACAACTTTCTTCTAGCTGTGATGGCTTATGACCGATATGTGGCAATCTGTCATCCTCTGCACTATACGGTCATCATGAACCACCGCCTCTGTGGATTATTAGTTTTAGGGTCCTGGATCACAACAGCATTGAATTCCTTGCTACAAAGTTCAATGGCACTACGGCTGTCCTTCTGTACAGACTTGAAAATTCCCCATTTTGTTTGTGAGCTTAATCAACTGGTACTACTTGCCTGTAATGACACATTTCCTAATGACATGGTGATGTACTTTGCAGCTGTACTACTGGGTGGTGGTCCTCTTGTTGGTATCCTTTACTCTTATTCTAAGATAGTTTCCTCCATACGTGCAATCTCATCATCACAGGGGAAGTACAAAGCATTCTCCACCTGTGCATCCCACCTGTCTGTTGTTTCATTATTCTATTCTACACTCTTGGGTGTGTACCTTAGTTCTTCTTTCACCCAAAACTCACACTCAACTGCACGAGCATCAGTTATGTACAGTGTGGTCACCCCCATGTTGAACCCATTCATCTACAGTCTAAGGAATAAGGACCTAATGGGAGCTCTGAGAAGGCTCTTCAGAAGGAAGCCATGAGAGAGACATTTATCAAGAAGTGCCTATGGTCTGGGTAGCAAAACCAGCATTGTAACTCTTTAATTGAATAGAAAAAAAAAAGAGAATTTCATCTTTCTACTTACTGCCTAGAGTTTTGATCTCTTTCAACTGCTTTACTGATTTTTTCTGTAATATCATTAGTGGGTTTTTTCTTCTCTTATACACATTTTCCAATTTTCCAGTATTCTTCCCAATATCATGTCAGAAGCAATTTGTAGATTCTCACTTATTTTACATAACTATGATGTGCTAGTACTATGGAATAAACTACAATTAATGAAGTCCACGATGTAATCTTAATATAGAAGAAGTTCTATAACTTGTTTTTACCGGTTTTCTGTTTACCTCTTTATATTGTTGTCTTAACTATTCTTATAGTCTAGACTTCAATCTTGTAATAATATGCATTTGTGTAAGTTCATAATCCTGATTAGGGCACTATTTCTATATTCAATTTCTTGTTCATAAGCCCATTCTGCTTTTTGGTACAGAATTCTAGTATGATAATATAAAATATGCCTTGCAAGTGTACTGGTACCATTTGCCTGCCATAGTGCCTGTTTTAATGATATTGCCATGTACTTTGCAGCTGTCCTGATAAGCAGTTGTCCCATTGTTGGTATAATTTACTCTTATTCTGGAATAGTTTTATTGTTCAAAAAATCTTTTATACAGAAAGATAAATTTGTAAAAATTAATTGTCTTAATGTGGATTCCAAGTCAGAAAAGACATTCCATATAGAAATATTTAATCATACATTAAAATTTCAGTAATGTGCTTTCCATAAAATATCCAATATATTATGTATGTCTGTTTGTCTAAATGTTAAACCTCAGTATCAAACATAAAGACATTTATTAAATAGCCTGAAATGACAGATACATGTGAAATGGCCTCATGTTTTTTCTTAACAATTTTAACTGTTGGGCTGAAGAGATGCATCAGTGATTAAGACCACTGGCTGTTCTTCCAGAGAACCTGGTTCAATTAACAGCACCCAAGTGGTGGCTCACAACCATCTGTAACTCCAGTTTCAGAGTATCTGACACTTTTCTGGCCTCCATGGGCATTGCACTCATGTGATACACATATACACACACAGGAAAATGCCCCTATATATAAAATAAAATCATGTAGATCTTTTGAAACATTTGAGAGTTTCTAAATTTTTTCCTTGCCGTAAAACAATAATATTCCCCTTTAAATATTTCCTCATAAACATTAATGTGTTGTGAGTGAAAACATTTTAAAGTATTATTTTCATTTTGTCTCTTATGTTCTGAAATCTCTTCAGTGCATATGAGCAAAAAATAGCTTACATAAGAACTTTGTTTAGTCCTCACTATACTCACTTCTAACCATGAACTGGGACAGAAGGTATCCCTACATAAACAATTTGTCTTTCAAATTTCTGCAGAATAATTAAAATAGAAACCAAACAATCGTCAATTAAAAAATTGTGCCCTACCTCCAGCCTGAGCAGGCCTGAAAGACCTTGTTTACCACAATAGACCAAATAATAGGACCTAGGTGGAGTTACCCACCTTGGCTGCATGTACAACCTGCTACAGGAACTTAGAAGAATAAACTGCCTGCTGATGATCTCAGTACAATGAATTTGTTGAGATGCAGAGGGTGGCCTATTTCACAGGCAAAGTATATTAGAGTAGTACAAAAGGCACAGTCAAGGGTGAAAATGAGCGGTGGTCACAGGGGCCATTGTGCAGGAAAGCCTTCTGAGTGGGATATGGTTAGATGCCAGAGACTCCTCTACTGCTCTTCCTATTGACCTAGGCTTCACAGTGCTTTCTAAAGTGTTCAGGACATACATATACATGTGTGTGTGTTTGTGTGTGTGTGTATGCGTGTTGCTACTTGGATTCCATATGAGGTTTCCTTTGGAGAAAAAGGAACTAGTTTTCTTGGACATGGACTAGCCTAACACAGTTTCTGAAGCCTGACCTTGAATGAGATACCTTCTAATCCAACAACAGAAGGCCATGTTGCTAAGAGAAAGCAGCCTTCCTCCCACTATGCATCTCTTGGAATTTTGGTCTTGACATTACTATCTCTAATAATTCATCAGATCAATTATTTTACTTTGCAAAACACTGAAACAAAACAAAGCTATTTTGCTGGAGAACAAGGAGGCGTGGCGCCATCCTGTATGCCAACAGGAACAAACTCTTTTGAATATCTTCTTATGGACTGACAGGCATCTCTTAATATCAACGGCTTTGTCTGAGGAGTTCTGATAAGACGACAGATGATGAGGCTCTCAGAGAGAAGTTCTGATGAAACTGCATTTTCACTGGTCCCAGATAGTTAAGGCACTCCTTGGAGTGTCTTGCAAATGGAGAATCTTCTTATAGAATCTCAATGTTGGTAAGAAGCTACTATCCTTCAAACAGGAGAACTTTGAAACAAAAGGATTTGAACATTGTCTGTGCCAAGAAGGTGAGGACTAAAAAAAAATCCAATGCATTTTGAGAATTTTAATGTGTAAGCCCTAAGGGTGGTGAAATAACAAGGGTTCAGTTTCTAGCTACTAAAAACCAGTGTCCATAACCCAGAAAAGCACAAAGCTTCTATACTGCTATTGCTCATATCTTTCATTATCATTATTATTATGTGGAAAACATCTTTGGTATGGATTGAATATACCAGGGTGCACTGAGAAAAGAAGAAAACCTTGACTGTGTGGCCTGGATGGAAGCAATAGAAACTTTGGCAACCTGGGAGTTTGTCAGTGCAGTGACACCAGTAGTGTCATACTTTGCTGCAATGCCACCAGCTGATCCTTCCTCTCTTAAGTTGACTCATTGTGTGAATTTGGGAGGATCTCTGAGAAAAGAACTCAAAGCAAATAATGGGTTTTGGCTAGCTTGATTGGTTTATGGTTTATGTCTCTTTGTTTCCACAACTTCCTTCTTTCTGGGCTCCATTGTCTGTTTATGTCACAATGAAGGATTCCTTGAATTAAACTGACTAAAATTACAAGATATTTCTGTCTAAATATCTGTGAAAAGGTAAGCAGAGTTTGACAGAAACATTACTTGCCCAGACAAGGCCAGCATCCTTGAGACTTCTTTGAACCCAGTGTCCACTTTTGGAGTGAGGATTAGAAGGAAATGTAACTGCCACAGAACTGTGGATGACAATTATTGATATTGTTTATAATCTTACTGCATGGGATGTCTCCAGTCTTCTCCTGACAACCTTTCCTCCTGTTTGGTTGCCTTTCCAGCCTTGATATGAGGGCTTTTGGCTCATCTTACTGTATTTTCTTTTGTCCTATTTGGGTGTTCTCTATTGGAGGCCTGATCTTTTCTGAAGGGGAAATAAGGTAGAATTTGGATCTGAGGGGAAGATAGAAGGAGTGGAAGGAGGAGAAAATGTGATTGGAATGTAGTCTATCAGAGAAGAATCTATTTTCCATTAAATAAGAAAAAGAAAAAGATTGAATGCTGTTAGAGGGCAATAATTCTGAGAGCAATATGGACTATGTAAACCCAGAGGTTTTTCAGGTTTCAGTGGGGAACAATAGAAATTCACCTAAGAACCACACTTGTGAAAAAAATGTGACTGCATTCGCCTATGTCTTAGAATTTGCCAAAGACTAAATTGAAGAGTTTTGGATTGATTTCATAAGCAGAGATTTCAAGACAATCTAGTATTAACCATAATCAATCATATATAATCAATAATGTAAAAAAGCAACCATGGCATGATGAGATACAGAATATATAATTAGAAGAGAAAACAGCCCCAGGAAAAGTAATGTTAGAGCCAAGCCATGTTCTCAAAGACATGAGAAGTTCAAGGAAAGGTTCTAGGATAAATGGAACAAAAAACTTGTATCCTCAGGGAAAGACCCCACCTAGCTAAGCTTGTATAAAGAATTGTATTTATTCAACAATGGGAATCATCAACAAGTCAAAGCTTATGTAAGCTTAAATCAAGGAGAGGACCAGCTTTCAGCCCACGGAGGCAGCAGAATTTGACAGCTTTAACTAAGTGATTCTGGCACTATGAAGAGATATACAAGTATGAAGGAGTTGTAGAATCTTCCTTCAAAGCTAAGAAAAGCCACTGAGGCCCACCATGTGGCAAAGGAACCCCTACATTGAGGCCTGGAGATGCTATTTGATGAAGCTTTGAAAATGAAGTCTGGATTTCACTGGAGACCCCAAGATGTTAGAGATGCCAGAACAATGGGATTCCCACCAAGGAAAACTAGAGACAGAGTATGAAACCAGCCCAAGAGAGAAATGCGTGTTACACTCTGTAGAGAACATGTTAATAAGAAATTGGAAAAAAGGCTAAATTGAATGTTACAGTGAGGAGCAGCTGTAAGAATGTAAGACTTTCAAATCTCAGCTTGAACTTAAAATTAAAGGATCCTTAAGTTTGAGTCTTGGTTTACACTCAAACATTAGCTGCCCCCGAGGCACATCCCAGGAGGAGCACAGTCCAAAGACTCAAACAAGAAAGAAGGGCCCAAGATAAGAGTTTATCAGGGAGATGAGCCCTCAACCTAGTACACCTGGGTAAACAGAAGCCACTTAAGCTAACCCTCATTGTTGTAAAGATAATGTGCAAATTTGTGTTACCTAGAAACCAGGCCTGGGAATGGCTGTTTGAAATCCTTTATGGTTATTGTTTAAGAAGTAATTAACTGTTCTTGTGAACTCTGTAAAAATGGTATATAAGCTGCTTTTAGCTTTGGCTCAGGATTCCTCTTACTTGTGTATAGGGGAGCCCCAGTGCACTGGTTATCATCTTATCATCAATACATCTTATGTTATTGCATTGGATCTGCTATCGATGAGTGTTTCTGGGGGAGCACTTACCCTGGTTTTGGATCCAACATTTGGAGGTCCCACTGAGATTCACTCTCTCAGACCCCCCATGGTTCAGAGATCGGAGGTGTTCGCTCGCTCAAGCAGGTCTGTGTGTTTTCTGTTTGGTGGTTTGTGTCTGTGAAGTGTATAGCATGGTTTCAGTGCCCGGGGAGAGCAGTCTGTTTTAGATCCTGGGAAAGGGTCAGGCTTTGAGTTCTGGAAAGGAACTCTTCAAGGGGTGAGTAAGCAGTGCGGTAAACATGCCAGCATGCTACAGGTCACGGGACACTAGGGGATGCTCCAAGGTCCTTCTGGGAGATAGGATTCTCCGTCTGGTCTCCCAGCCTCCAGGGGCAGCATCTGTTGCTCTCCTTTGGCAGTATGTCCATGTCTGATTTTGTTCATGTATTTTGTTTGTGTTATACGTTGTTTGTGGTGTTGGACTGACAATCAACTTTTGGCCATGGGACAGACAATCTCTACCCCACTATCCTTGACTCTTGACCACTGGACTGAAGTTAAGGCTAGAGCTCACAACCTGTTAGTAGGAGTGAGGAAACAGAAATAGCAGATATTCTGTGCCTCAGAATGCCTATCTTATCAGATGTGATAGCCACCAGAAGGATCCTTCTTTCTAGAGAAGGTTAGACAGATTAAAGGAAGAGTTTTTCACAGGGGTCCTGGTGGGCATCCAGACCAGATCCCCTATATAACTGTCTGGGAAAACTTGGTTCTCTCCCCGCCCCACATGGGTCCCCGAATTTGTTTCACTTTGAGGCCCACTGAAGACCGAGGTGTTCGCATTGAAAGACAGTGATGAGCAGAAGAAAACCTCATTTCCTGTGAGAGAAAAGAAGATCTTACCCACCTCAGATGCTGACTACCTTTTATTAGATCCTCCTCCTCCTTACCCACCAGTGCTCCTCACAATGGCAGCGCAGGGGGTGCAGCTCCAGCAGCACAGGGGGTGCAGCTCTGGCAGCACAGGGGACCGCATCCCTGGCGGCACAGGGGGCCACAGCTCTGGTGGAACCCTTGGCTACCCC